TAGCTAAATATAAATGAAATAATTCTCCTCAAGCAGTACCGCTAACGTTATAGACGCAGCAGTTAGCGCCTCATCGTCTCTTATCGCCTCCGATTATCTCACGTAAGCGGAAATCGAATTTGGCAAACTTTCCTGACCTGTGCGCAAAAATATTCGGTCGACTGCGCGTTTCTCGTTCTCAATCCGTGCACGCGTTTGCGCGTGCTCCTCTCCACTCTCTCTGGAGAGAATTCATAAACAGAGACGGAGCGTGGCGTAAAAATAAATAAAAAAAGAAGAGAGAAGAAGGAGGAAAAAGAAAAGAGAAAGAAACGAACGCGCGAGTGTTGGAGGGAGAGAGCGTCGAGGAGGTGGAGGGGCTCGAGCGGGCGAGATGGAACGACGCGACGCGGCGAAGACGCCGCGAGAGTGGAACGCGCACCTGGAGCTCGCCCGGCTTTGGCGGCGACGCCCGCCAAAGGTGCCGCGCGGCGAGAGGAACGAGCGGCGAGGACGGGAAGGCCTCTCAGACGCGGTCTGTCCCCCCTTTGTCGGGACGGTAGGCGGCAACGCGCGCGATGCCGGCCGAGTCCGCAGGCGTCGGAAGCGGATGCCGACTTGCGCCGTGTTGCCGACGCCGGAGTCATCCCTTCCGCCCGCGGGACTCGTCGAGGGAAAAACACGCCCCGATCAGCCTCCACCGGGGGGACCGACGACGCCGCGGGTGCAGCCAGACGCTTCCGGACGGCTGCCACGTGTGCACGAGTCGAGCTGGCATCCGGCGCCAAGTATCTCAAGTGGCATGGCTCGACTCGATGTCATCATCGACGTGATCATGATTGCCCGATATAATCTTGAATACGATCCCATCGATCAATGACGGATTTTCCGTCAGTAGATGCCCAGGCTTAGGGTCTCGATCCTTCAGAAGGGCGTCCTCTTTTCGTCTAGAGATTGTTTCGCTTTAGATAAATGACGTATCATAATCGAGGAGAAAGAGAGGAGGGAAGATGTGATTATAATATTTATAATCATCGAATAATTTTAAAATTTAACTGCTAGTCGTGAACATTACAATAGTTAGGAAGCTACTCCTCTTATTTTGTTAGAACTGCTTTTACTGAAAATATTAAATAAATAAAAATAAATGGAAAAAATATAATAATCTTTCAGACATTATATATGACGAACTTAATTATTGAATTTTATTCTTCAAAGCAACGTTCATTATTCGATTGCCTTAGATGAATAAATTTTAGACAAAAGTACCAAAAAGTACATCTTTACTTAAGGTCTGAGCAATTTTACCCAAATTTACGTTGTCGGGAGATCATGTAATATAATTGCTATTCGATAGTTTGTTATCAAGCATCAAACTGCAATTAATAGAAGATATTCTATAATTATTTTGATATTTTTTTAAACCTCAAAATATAATGTAAATTTGTTTGTCGACAAAATCAGTAGTGCAAGTTGTATAGATTATTTTAGAGACTTAATTTAAGATATATCGCATCCCCCAAGTAGCAAGAGAAAACTTTAATTTCCTTTATTTCATTCTTTTTTATATTCGATTATTGCCATGGTTAATCCAAAAATCTATTCTTTACAAATATAATTTATTAAGGAAGGACGCGAAATTTTGGAAGAATACGAAAATACCGTTTGAAAACAAGGGAGAAAGGAATACATGCAATGTTCAATATTCAATGAGCTATTTTATAATTAATATTGGTAGATGCCTTTTATATATTACATATTACAATTTAAAAAAAAAATAAGCTGTCAGTCATGAAAACCTTCTTCTTGGTCAAAAAGATTCTAACAAACTTAAAGTCTAAAAAAAGTACCATTTTTCCAGGATATCTCTTCGAAAGGGCTTCCTTTAAACATTTAGACATCTTTCGAATGGTTGTTTGCGCATTTTATATTTTCTCCCTTATCCACCATTATTATAATCGGTTATCTCATCCATGTTTTCCCATCGGTTCACATCTTACAATAACATTGCTTCTTCCTCCATTCGCTACAAAGTATCGCCGACAGTTTGGTGGTACGCTGAGCGTTTTCATTTCTATGCAGCGGAATGGAATAGAGTTCAATGACTCAGAAAGGGACGGAAGAGAAGGGGAGAGAAAGTGTCTCTTTCTCTCTCCCTCGTGGCATTCCGCAGGATTGACTGCGGGGAAACGAGCTGGCCGAGCTTCTTGTGCGTGAATTCGCGCGTGAAGTAGGAAAATGCGTCGCGGCACGATGGAAAATAGGATAGAGGGAGGCGGAGCTTTCACCGTTTCCACCTACGAGCCCATCTTTCGGGAGGTATGTCGTTGGACCGGATTTCCCGGAACTTTTCCGCAACCGCGCCTTGCTTCATCTCTCTCTTTCTTTCCTTTTTTCCATTCCCACCGCCGCCATCCACCTCCGGGAGCGACTCTGACATTTTCCTTCATCGACTATCTCTTACCGGTGAACCCGCCAGCTAGATTTTTCTGCAGTTCACCTTCTTCAGAACACGTTTACGATAGGAGGTAACCTGAAGTGGCTGGTAAAAGTGCTAAATGGAAAACGTGATATCGGTTGGATCTCGAAACGGCCGATCCAACAGGCGCGAATATGATTAGATTAATGATAATGATAGAACTGGAGCGTAGGAATTGGAGCGAAGCTGGAAAACATCATTAAGAAACATTGAAATGAGTGGCAAAAGCGCAATATAAGGATTATTAACGTGTAACAGAGAATGTAAAGATTATTCACCATCATCAGTTTAGCGTTATTCAGTGATTCATTAGGAATACCATCATCAATTTATTCATCTAAGGCAATCGAATAATGAACGTTGCTTTGAAGAATAAAATCCAATAATTAAGTTCGTCATATATAATGTCTGAAAGATTATTATATTTTTCCATTTATTTTTATTTATTTAATATTTTCAGTAAAAGCACTTCTAACAAAATAAGAGGAGTAGCTTCCTAACTATTGTAATGTTCACGACTAGCAAGCTTAAATTTTAAAATTGTTCGATAATTATAAATATTATAGACACATCTTCCCTCCTCTCTTTCCCCTCGATTATGACATGTCATTTATCTAAAGCGAAACGATCTCTAGACGAAGTAAGAGAGGACGACTCCATAGACACCCTCTTTTTGCGGTGAGGAGTTGCGCTCGCATACCGAGCCACCATCTTGTCGAACGACTTGTCGTCGTCCCCTTGCGCCCCAAATGCATCCCCCCGACTGCACTCTTTCCCTTCCCCTCCCGTGACCGCCGCAGATCCATACGGAGCGCAATGTCGAGCTCCACCTTCGCCGCCACTTTCACCGCCGGCGGCTACCTCCTCCACTTCCGTCTTCGCCACCTCCACTTCCGCCGCCTATTACCGTAGCTCGTAAACCCGACGCGCCATTTTGCGTGACCCTTTTTCCACCTCCGCGCGATGACCTCTCCTCGCTCTCCCTGTGACCCTTCTTCTCGCCGGTCCCGCTTCCGCTTTAATCAGAGCGTTTCTTCAGGGCGGTAGCGCGGAGATAAGAAGCGGAAATTAAACGCTAGACATTTGCAAAACTCGCGCATAATGCGTTTTTTTTTTTAAGAGATCGTACGATTTTCTTTCAACTGTAGACAAATATATCGATGCAGTTGAATTTTTTTTATTCGAGATTCAAGGATAAACTTGAAAGATTAAGTCTTTCTGGTTATCTCGCTTCACAATAGCATTATCTATATTAAAAGTTATACTTAGTTCTCCTATTTTGGAAGATTTGTCTGTCCAAATGAGAGTCCTTAAATACGGCGTTAGGCAATTAATAAAATTTACTAAAAAGACTTTAGATATTATCACGTTTTTGTATATCTTTATCTATTTTAGAAAAATATACATAATTGTTGTTTTAGAAAAATAATTTTTAGAAAAAAAATTATGTATATACTTTATCGAAGTCAGCATTAATTTGCGTTTTCATTTTTTATGCAAGAAAATATTGCAATAAAATGTTCCTCTTCTTTTTCTTCGTTAGAATATTTATTCTTGATATATTTAAAATGAGAAATATAACGTTTGGCAAGAGATAATATTAAATATTATTTGGCACGTACCTGCCGAGTCTTCTTCTACGAAGAGAATATTTGGATCGTTGATATTTGATCAGGGAGAAGAAATAATTCGTGACAAACGCAACGCATAGTACATTCCATGATCGTTTATTTCGATTACAGAACAGCGATCGGGGGACTTACTTTTCTCCTCTTGATCCGATTAGTGTATTTACATTAATTCGCTGGTGCATCGCGAGAGACTGGTTTGGCGATGATCTAAAAGTTTCGGTAATTATACCGAACGGCCGACGCGTCAAAGGCCGATCGCTCAAAAGAAAATTTGATTACGTAAACATTTTACCAAAACATACATTCAAGTCACAACGAAAAATTATAAATAATAGCGATCGGCTTCCTTTCGCGTCGTCCTTTCGCGTAATCTTAAGAATCTGTAAAATCTCGCTTGTGAAACGAAGATATCGTAGAGTGTACGACGCGCGCAACTTTCGTCGATGAAGATCGATATATCGCTTTTACCACGTGATTAACAAACAATGACAATTGGATTCATTAATTCAGGTGTACACGTGAAGTTTATAATACAATGTGATGCAATTGCTGACGCTCAAAGAATTATTAATTACATTTGTAAGGAATTATTTTTAATATATTCGTGATTGTAACGTATGTTGTGTGAAAACATAGCAAGAGTCATTGTCGCAAAAGTGTTTCCAGTATCAAAAAGGCCAAAATTAAAAAGTTATTATCAAAACAGAATTATAATATCTCATTTTGACGTCGTCAAGAACAAATTATGTACCGTCATAAAAATCGTCAAAAACAAATTATGCATCGTTGAATTATGAGATAAGAAATTGTTCATAATCGCGACTTGACGGAAGGAAAACGGATGTAAAAATGAACGCAAACCTCACAACTTTTCGGAAAGAAGGAAGACGCATTTGAAATTTGCGAATGAATATGACTGCGATAGCTGTTTTTATTGATGATTGATGCACAAAACTGTGTCGAATGATCCTAGAGCGACGTTCGATTGACGATTGTTAAGAACTAACGAAGTTAATTTACTAGCTCTATGATGCGTAAACGTACATATTAATTCTAAAGAGTTAATTTACGTAACGCAAAGAAATATACAGGTATTTACAGGAGCGAGACGCGCTCGCTGATAACATTGCCCGAGAATCCCGGCTGAATCATGGATTCTTCATGGGGATGTCGAGCTGATTCATTCACATAAAGATGCGCCGCAGATCAGACGGCGATGTTATCATGTTGCATTGTGGACAGAGTTTTTTTGCGCCCTGCAACAACAGTAAGAAATCTCATTTCGCGATTTCAAGACTGGAATCATCATCTGACCGTTCAAATGTTTATTTATTTAGGCAGATAATTCTGAAAATAAAGAAAGATGCTGATAATTTTATTGATATATTAATTTAAATAAATTTTATTGATTAATAATAAATTAATAAAATAATTGATTAATAATAAAATTCAAATAATTGTGAAAGAGAATTAGATTTAGAATTTAATCTTAATTATGATCATTTGAGTGCAATAATACAGAAAATATTAAACTCGACTGATTTAGATATTTTGCGAAAATAATCTGCAAATCCAAGATATTTTTTATTTAAAAGTCTCCTTTTTCGTGGAAAATTCTCTAAAATATTTTTCAAAATATATTTCAAAACGATTAAGTTAAATCTTTTCTTGAAGAATTAAATTAAATCCTCTTGAAATACACGTAAAAAATAATCTGGAGAATTTAGTACACCATTATAAAGAGAAAATAGACCTACCAGCGTGTGTAACCAGCATTCCTCGCAATGCACATGCCAACAGCACACCGAAGTGACTGGTTTCTTGTATTGTTCCTGCAATTGAGAGAGTTTAGTATCTCATTAGATTAAAAACGGAGTCGAACCGACGTATAATACTTCAATCCGGTTCGACTTCTCACGAAGCGAAGGCGACGAAGACGCAACAGGAGCGATAATGAACAAGGTAAAATAAATTAAATAGATTTATAATGATCGCGAGTCGAGTCGAACCTTTAGCTGAGACGTGTCCCATCGTGAGATGAATTAAAAGGATTATTGCTAGGGGTCGTTACGTAAGCGGCATTCCTTCCAGGATTGAAAGTACGTTTGTCATTTACCTATATTGACGCAAGATAACGACAACCAGCTGATCGATATACTCGAACGTTTTATTACCATCGCTGCCAAGATCACCGTCTTATCTCGCGTGACGAGTTATTTCGTGCGATCGCGAACCTACCTAACGAAGTGCAGCGAATCAGGGGATACAGGTAATATCGCGTCCCGGACGATGAAAACACTCGGCGGTGATATTACACGTAATGCTCCTTCGCTACTTCGTTAATTCATACGACATTAAGGAATAATTTATTCGGCGATTTAAATATTTCAGGCCGCCACCGAAACGCGGTCAAATTTTATGCGCCGGTTTTATATCACGTTACAATTATTTACGAGTCGCGAAACACGCGTTACCAGGTACCGGATAAAACGCGACAAAATAATGCGCATAATGCAATATTACAAGGACATAAAAAATGATATAAAATATGATAAACGCGCTGTTTTTCCGAGCCATTTTTCATATTTGTTTCATTTGATTCTTTACCAACTAGTTATTTATAAAGATAATCTAATAACGATGATTCGATTATAACCGTGTGCTTCATTAGCGTTCAAAAGTTGATTCAATTTTTATACGCGGCTGTTCAATAATCGTTTTTCGAAGTCTAAAATCAATTTTTCATTGTTACATTTGTTTCACTTGTATATTATATGTATTTTGTGATGTTTATTTAATATTCCAATATTTAATTATTCCTTAAAATTATTTCAGTTAACGAAAAATAAATGTTTTAATTTGACACTTTGTTTTCTTGTCTTGAAAATCTAGAGCGACATTATAAGTGCACTTCTAATGCTCATGCATTTTTGAAAAAATATTTATAATTTTTTTTAAATATTACATATTTATATTGCACGATTTATCTTCTTATAGAGATTCTTGTGTGTTTACTGCTCCGAATTAAACATTCAAATATCTCACGATTAACCAGAGACACAAAATTTGAGGTATAAATCATTTAAAATTCAGAAACAATCATCTTATTCGTTTTTATGCAGATTAATTAAGTGTTTGTTGATTAACTTACCATGCAGATGAGACACTTGAAGAGTTGCCCGCGCATCTCGGCCTCGAGCTCGCGGATTCGGCCGCGAAGCGCCTCCATGACCGGCGTGTCGCCGTCTCTTCTGGGCGACACGCCGGAGGCACCCTCGTCGGGGTCGTTCTGCTGGGCGACGGGAGTCGTGGTGCCCGGTTCCGGCTTCACCTCGACCAGGCCCTGTGCCGTCAGTCCGGCATCCGGGGTTAATTGTTGCGGCGGATGCGGCGCGTTCGGCGAGATGACAGCTTCGCGAAGGGCGTCCCGTTCCTTCTGTTCGCGAGGCGTGCCGTCGATTCGCGGCGCGACCACGTCTGCCTCGGAATATTGAGCAGGCCCGAACTCGGCGGCATCGTCGCCGTCGACCACGAGGTCCACGTCCTCGTCCTCGTGGCTGCCACCCCCGCCGCCGACGCCGGAGCGGTTGCTCGAGGAGGTCGCGAGACCTGCGGCTGCGAAAGGAAAAAAACGGGTTTTCAGCATGTCGATGAGAAATTGCGCGAAAGAGTTGAGAAAAGATTATGTAATCGGCTGTAATAATATGTTTTATACATATTATGTAATGAAATAATTTCTCTCTACAAAAGTAATATCCTACGTAAGTTAAGAGTTGTGTCGTTGAAAGAAAGATTAAATATGTCTTATGCAATATTCAATTGATTGCAATTTTAAATTCTTTTATAAAGTGTGTTTGATGTTAAGTTTAGATTTTGATATAAAATGAAGAAAGTTACACTCTGAAAAATTACATCTAATATTAATTTTAATTTAGTAATTATTTTTGACATACATGTGTCAAGATGTCGATAAAATTTTATTAAATAAATCTGTAAATTCGCAGATAATGAGGCAAATTTTCGTTACAGAAATTCAAATCCTCTCTATTAAAATAACGCTGTATATTAATTTCGAACGATATATTTTTTCCTGTCAAAGTGCAAATTAAATACTAACTATTGCACAATTCATAATCATCGAATATATATTTATTTTACAGTTTCATGTATTTAATGTTCTATATTCAGTTAAATAAATAAATAAAAAAATAATTTAAATAAATGGAACTGTACATTATGTGTGCTTAATAATCGCAAATTCAATGTACATATTTGCCTCTGCACATATAATAAATTCGCGTAATTAAACGCCATAAATGTAAATTTACCAGAGAATCCACCGACGAGCATAGAAGAGGCACGCACTCTTTTCTGACCGGCCCATTCGTATTCCTCGAAGGTCTCGGCATCACCCTCGACGTCGACCTCCTCCTCGTCGAGATTCGTGTTCTGCCCGGCCGGATTCCCATTGTTCTGCTTATTCAAGCATCGATCGACATGCTGATTCAATTCCTCCGGGGTGCCAGATAATCTCTCGTTGCAAACCGGACAGGACGCCTCGTCCGCTTTTCTCTTCCGATTCTTAACGCGTATTCTAGCCTGCACAAAAAGAAGGAATAGCAACGCGCATATATTATATCAAGCGATGGGATAAAAAAAACGATTAATTATATGATTATATTGATGGTATATCATCAAGATGCTATTAAGCATCTTAACTTATTCTGATATCTCAAATATTTTAATTAAAATATCTCTAGAATTGGAATAAAAAAATCTAATATTTTTTTCATATAATCTTAATGCAAGGTTTCGATTGCACTAGTTCGAATACAATTAGTGTAATCTTTATTTTTAAAATCTTGAGATTTAATCTATGAAAAATGACAAATTTTTCTTGTCTTAGACTACATGATTTAAATTGCTGGATCAATTTTCTTTTAATTTAGATGTGGAAAGAAGTTATGTATCGATTCGTTTATTAATAATTAATTGGAAATGTGAAAATCTTATACGTACGATAATAATCATTTGAAATAATGATTATTTTTAATTTTATAATTTAAATTTTATATTCGTTAAAATTTGTCTCTCTCTCTCATATATTAATTGATTTTCGTGTTTCAAAGAAACTACAATCTTGGTTAAAAGCATGTTTAATAACTTTGATTTAAATGTAATTTAATTTAAATTTAATAATTTTAATACTGAAGACGCGGAATAATAGACGAATCGCATTAAAATAGAAATGAAAACAAAGAAAAGAATTATGAAAAAAAAATTATTGATCTAAAAACTTGTTAAGAAATTATTGATCATAGAAACAAAATTATAATCAATGAATTACCTGTCTATTGGCCTTAATCCTCTTGTACGTTTCCCATCTACCCTGAGGGGTACCATCCGCCGCCGATGGGGCGTGCAGCATCGGACCATGGGGATGATCTTGTGGATGCGTCGGTGGTAAGGTTGATCTCGAAGATCGAGGTCTTAAGGGTGTCGTAGAAACCTTGTACAGTCGATCAAGTTCTTGAGCAAAATGCTGTTCTAATTCTTGAGGTCTCACTGTCACTCCGCATACTGGGCAGCAAGATGGATCTGAGGGAAATTTCTTCTTGCCTAAAACAGAAGGAGATTCAAAGCAATTAAATTTAATTAAAAATTGCGCAACGAGATTGTTTTTATCGGATAAATATATTTGGCTATTGTCTTTTAACATTGAAAAAAAAATTATTCATCTGAAAACTTGTTATAAAATTATTGATTATAGAAAAAAATTGTATTATAAAATATTATAAAATCTTTTAATTTATTTCGCCGAGTGCTATACCCAAGATCGAGTGCTAAACCCAAGATCCAATATAATTATTTCTTCCTATTAATTATAATAGCAAATTAATTAATTGATTATAATAACAAATAATAAAATAATAATTTCAATTACATCAAATTCATTGACAATCAAGGTTTTTTTAGAAATTCTTTTTTCAAACTTTTAAAGCAAAAGTAAATTTAATAGTACAATATAAAGTATAAAATGCTTTTTAGTAAAAAAAGGAGTAAAAATAAAGAGAAATTCTTTCTTGTATGACAATTAAATGCATTCGAAGGCTCTTTGATGTCCTCGAAAATGAGGGTTTAGCATCTCGAGCGCGGTTAAAGAATGGAATCACCCGAAGACGAAAGGGGGGAACGTTCCACTTCTTGAAAGATATCGGCTAACACGATTTAAAAAGTATTCAACTCGCCTCGTAATTACTTTCCGCAACGAATCGCCGTCGAGACGCGCGCATCGCATTAAGCCCAGGAACGAGTCGCGAAACGAAAACCGCCGCCGTAGGTCAACGCGAGCCCGGCTCGTTTACTCGCAATTTATCGCTCCGTAAAACGACGAGTAAAAGAGAAGGGAAGAAAAAGAGAGGAAAAATAGCCGCGCGAGAGGGTACGAGGGATTAGGGGGGGAAAAAGAGCAGCGCAAACAGGCCGCGGTACTCGAACGGGATACTTCTATCTCACGTCTTACACTCTGACGGGAATGCATAATTAATCGCGAAAACTTGTCACCGCCTGCATCCTGCACACCTCGTAGTGTGTCGCGGCTCAGCCTGGAGAATAAACTATGCATAAACTTATAGGAAAAGTTTGCGCCGCCGGATTCCTACCGTTGATTTTAATTACGCGTTAATCCGTATCTCAAAGCGGCTTTATAACGTCATCGTGCTGGAAGGATGCTGAAAGCCTTTATACGGTGCTAAATATTTATTGCGAGGAGCCGTACAGTTGTAGGGGAGACAGACGAAAGGGGTCGTCCATCCTTGACCGGATACACCAAGCTGCGTTTTATTCAGTTGCGTTTTACGCGACGGTTCTTGGCTTCTTGTGTGAAACACTACGCACGTTAATTATCGAATTGAAATCTAAAGGCTTGTTCTCTCCTAGAAATAATATTACAAATCAATTTATTTTTAATCCGACTTGAAATATAATTATCAAAAAAAATCTTGAAAAATATAACTTTTTTATTTTTTATTTTATATTTTTATATTATTTATTATGTTTATATTATATAATTAATTTCAAATTCTGTGGCAATTTTTTAAATTATAATATTGCTATTTAATTATAATATTTCTCAAATTTTTGTATATTCTGTGCGAGAGATCGTGTAAAATATAAAGATAGATCTTCACCTCCTAGTCGATTGCAAGGTACATACACCTAGGTACACTCTGCATAATTAGGTGCTTCGAGTTTCCTTCATCGGTCTTAATCGGTCGTAAGCTGCCGCGACTTCGGAATAAAATAACAGAGAGTCGACGACGCGTAAATGCGTACATGCACTTTGCATGTATTTTAAAATTCCTGAATGATAATCGCAGTCTGTCTTGCGAGCACGGTATCATCGGATAACGGAAGTCGGCGGAATTAACGTCGCGACGATGCAATAAAGAAAGTCGACTCGCAAAAGAAGGAATAACACGAGATTTATCAGTTACATTGCATTTCCGTCGGAGATAATTTCGTGAGGAGGATTATCTCCTTGCGATTGAATTTTCTTAAATCATTGTAAATGTTTCGCATTGAGTTCCAGACAGTTTCAAATTGTTGCTAAGAATATATTTCCCATGCTTGCAAGAAAAACTTTATTACTTAATTTTACTAAAGTATTAAAGTATTTAAATGAGCAAATTCAACATTTAGACTTATTACAGAAATATGCCTTCCAAATATATTTCTTTTAAAAGATTGAATTTTCAATGTTAAATAAAAATTATTGATATAAGAAAATTGCAATAATTTACATTAATAATCTTAAAAGATATTTACTGTAAAATAGTGATTGAAAATCGAATAATGTACTTACAACCTTCAAACATAGACAATTAACAATATTAAATTTTATATAATAATATTTATATATTTAATAATATTTGATAATATTTGACAAGTTAAAATATTTTTAGAGAAATAAAACTTTAAGAAATTGCAGCGCATTAATATTCACACGGATTCAAATTGCATCGCGCTCGTTCCAGTTTGAATAGCTTTCGAATTATCGCTATTTCCGAATTAGCCTCTTTACACAACGAAATCTCTCGATTTCGCTGTCCTGTAATAATAAATCGTTCTTCGTCTGCCGACAACGATCATAAATAGATTCGATGGATCGACGGACGATATCATGGAAATCTAATTAGGCAGGTCTACTTAAACGACGATATTACTGTCAGGATGAGCGACAAATTGAATTTTCACGTTTAAAATGCACCTTCCTTCCGCTGATAAACGTGCCAATTGCAAACTTTTGAATACTTTAATCAGCGCTGTAACTTTCAATGAGTTTTTGTTTTTTGATTTCAATCGTTATCTATCGGTTACTTGATTAAATGCCGCTTTAGCGATAATTTGTCCCCTGAAAATTGCCGTTTATACTTGTTGCTAATCGACAAATTATTCGAACAGGTAAATGAAATTTTTGGATATTAAATTTAATTGTAATTCCGCGCTCTAACAGAAATTCTCTTATTTTTAAATGAAAAATATAATCTCTATTGTGCAAAATTATATACATACGATCCAAAACGTTCTTTTTTTACTATTTATGAATTCCATAAATATCTATATATCAATCTCTTATAAAGTAACTATAATTTTATAATTATCATTTAATAATCTCTTATAAAGTAATTATAACTTAAATTTTAACTATACGTAATTATTATAATTTTTTATGATTGCATCTTGCTTAATCGATAGCCGATTCTATTACAATATTGTTTAAAAAATGTATGCATAATAAACGAATAGAGAAATTTGTGAATGAGGAAAAAATATTATTTTCCGACACGAATTCCATAGAGTGTACGAAAATAAACGTCCTTTGTTGAACGTTCACACCTGCTTGGTATTTTCCGACAATAGTGACGTCCAGTGACGTCTTTTCAAAAAATAGAATGGAATAATTTCTATGCGAACAACTCGAAACTTCGATTTGTCAAGATTTCCTACGTTATTAAGTTTTTTACATTTCTGTAATTTTAAATTCAATAAATTAATAACTTTAGAAAATAAAATATAAAAATAAAGTATATAAACTTTAAAAAAATAAAACGCTATTAAAGAAATCCAAATCATGTTGAACGAGAGGAAACGTGAAAAGAATGATAACATACTTTCGTAATAAAACAAATAAATTTCAAATTTTTCAACTTGTTTCTTTCAAATATACAATTTGAACGATTGGCTCGTTTATTTTGACAAAAGACGACGATCCGCTGCTCGAAGCCACGAGGATTTGATCGCGACAAATGTTTCACGTCGACAGCGCAAAGAAGGGGCCTCCCTCGCCCTCACAAATCTTGACCCCTAAGGGTCGACTTGTAAAAATAGACGAGGGAACTCGCGATATTCTCGCGGTTTCCGGACAGAGAAGAGACGGCTTGTTTGCGCGTCAAAGTTACATCCTTCATGTAAAAAAGTCTGATTCACTATCTTTTCTTTGTTTTTATATCTTTTTATTATTCTTTTATTATCTCATGATAATGATTATTTGTATTTAAAAATTAAAGTTCGATGTACATATAAGTTTCTTTCATCAAAAAATGATTTGCAACAAATTTCTTAATGATTCTTTTGCAACTCAAATAAATGCATATAAATAATCTAAAACTTACATTTTATTAAAAAACAATATAATATATTGACGTTTTAAATTATAGCGCGATATAATTTTTATAGCGCGATATTTCTAAATTTATAACTTTATAAAAGTAAAATATCATTTATAATATTTTACTTTTATAAAGTTATAAATTTAGAAATATCGCGCTATAAAAAAATTAATCACTGTGCAGTATCAATCATTATTATAGAATATTCATTGTGATTTTTTTTATAACATCTCGTGAAAATATCTATAATGAATATATCTATACAATTTCGATTAAAATTGAACGGCTTATATTATTATAAAATATTGAAAAATAACTTTTTTACTCTTTATAATTTGTTTTTCGGTTACTTAAATCAACAGTCAAATTCTTATTATCAAAATTAAAATATCGATAAATGTCATCAACTAGCTAATGATGACTTTTAAATTCCTGCTCGCACGGCGGAATATTTACTGATTGCGAGGACGGTAAGCAGGATCGGAAATGATATAATTTGTTTCCGGGCTGCAAATGCGCACGAAACGTTTGCAGTACAAACACGGACGTTATTTGACGAGCCGGACTGGATGCATTACAGTGTTTTAATATTTTACATTTTAATAAAATGCTTTAATATTAAAGCTTATCCCCGTATGCAGCATAATGGGAATTTCATTGAAAATTAGGTATTTCGTTAATTGGATGATTCCGCCGTGATTTCCTCTGGCGGACGCGGACATTATTCGATATAGTGTCTATAACTACGTTTGTAATTTTCGCGCTATGTCCGCATCGCAGCCTCATTATGGCACTTTTATGCGGATAAATAAAGGTACGCAATGTAGACTGGTAGTTAAAAAAAGAAAAAAAAGGGAAAGTTTAAATATTTAAGCAAGGTTTTGTAATATCATGATATTTAACATATGCAGATATAATCAGCGTTTATATGATATGTAAAATTTCGCA